ATCTGTGTGAGCAGTTATTGATTTGCATCTGGGTAACTTTCTGATCTGCATGATATCATTGCTTTTTTGTCTTGTCTCACTTTCTGTATTGGTAAGGGTTATGAGACTTACATAAGTGTAATTAATTTATTTTTGGAAAATAAAAAGTTTGTTCTTCCCTTTCTGCAAGAACAGAATTGTAGGAAACACTTTAAACAATTATATAAATTGAATGAACCACTTTTTTGGTACTCCAGTTGTCTATAATTTAGTTTTTACTCGGTTAATGAGAGGTTTGCAACAGCTTTAAAGGCTTTATCAATTTAATATTTTAATTATATTTTAAGTCTTTGTAAAGGCTTCTTTCTTTTTCTAGTACTGTATGTGTCATTCTTTGCAGTACATTGGTTAATTAGGCTTTAAAAAGGTGTGACAGCCTAAATGATGTTTTCAAATGCCTTTAATTGTCCAATAAACTATTCACAAATGTTATAAAATATCTGAGCTATTTTGAAAGCATACCTGTAATAGTCCCTTGAATGGGACTATGAACACTATGATCTTAGTGGTTTTGTGTACATGTGAGTTTGGACTATTGTGGAAATGTTAAGGTTTATAAATAGACTAGACTGTACTCTCCATCCAGTTGTTTCCTTCTTATTTTAGCCCTACAGAAGTGAACCTCAGTGAGAACGTCTCTAAGGTTGACTTTTGAGAGTCTGATGCACACAAAAATGTGTTTGACCTAGACCTTCTGTCATTATAACTTGCTCTTTCTTCTTTAGATATCCTGCATGTTAGTACTAATAACTTTCAGAGTCTAATTTAATTTCTTTTCTTTTTACAGACAGAGTCTGATATTGATCTTAGCTCATATCGTCAAAAAAGGTAAGGTTTTAAATTTCATACACCCAAAGATTTTCTGCATGCATCGTTTTGGACGTGCTTGGCCAGAGTCAGCATATAGTTTATATTAGATTGTCCAAGAAACATTTGTTCAGTACTTAACGAGACATGTGAACTAAATATTCCCACTAAACTATATGTTCCTGTGCTCAAGGACAAACAAATGAGCCAAAAATACAAGCGTCACAAGCTGTCATTTCATCGGACTTCCTATGGATGTCAAATGATTTAATCAGATTTAGATACTCTTGGTGGTCATTGGCATTCAGTAAATTGTTGCAAAGCGGAGTGAAGGGAATGAATTAATCAATGGATGAATGAACGGTGTGTCTTTGCTGTGGCATTTTAAGTACTTCAGCAGTGATTTTACTCTTTGGATCAGAGGTGAATTGGGTAAATATCTTCCATCCCAGTAAACACTTCTCATAGCGAGTTTATGAAATTACAAAACACTGTCCTTTTAAGTTTGTAAGCAGAAGAACTGGTATAAAAGAGCAATGAGTCAGAAAATATATTGTTCTCTTAAAAGACCAGAGGAATTTTGATGATCACATTTCCTTTTATAAGTTATAAGTTATTTCAGACTTGTTTTGAACTAATTCCAGTAGATCAACTTTTTGTGTACTAGGTGGCCTGTTCATTTGCTCAACCAATCAAAGCTTTCCAGCTTGAGGGATTGGCCAGCCTACTTATCTGTATATGCTTGCGGTGGCTGGATTTCATTGGCTGATTGTCTGCATTGTGACTTGTCATCTCCGTTGCAGGAGAACACACCCTTAGTCAACACCATCAGCATGTCACATACAGTTTAGTGTGCATGGCCAAGTGTAGCGCAAGTGAGAAAATGAGGAAGCAAGCAAATGCCGTTTGGTATATTTTTATTACAAGAATGAATAACTTTGTGATTTAGTGCTAATAGACTTGGAGTGTTTCCTCTTTTGCTGATGGATGGACAGATTTTCTGTTGTGTTTTCAGATCTAGTATTGAACTTTGTCTACTGATAATGTTGTCTTTATTGCAGATCTTCATGTTTTTTTTAAAGCACGCCACCAGACACACACAGTTGGGAAGTGGTTGACACTATTTTAGCTGTGTTAGGAACTTTGTTGCAGCTCTTTTTCTGTGGTTTGTGCCACCAGACCAGTAAGCCTAGTTTAATGCCTTGAGACTTTTCTTTATATTTGATCACAAGGCATTAACTATGTCTGATCACTCCCCACCAAAAGATTGTAAGACATGTTTTATGTCTCCTTAAAATATCAAATTGATGTTGATCTACTGATGGTGTGGTTATTTCACTGTTTAGCTTTTTTTGTCGTTCATTTTGTCTAATCTCTGTAGCCAGAGGTCATGCTGACACTGTTTGAGTCAGGCTTTAAAATTATCCACATTAGTTCATAACAGTGTTTGTGTTATCCTTATGCAAGCTGCAGTAGAGAGATTCACAAGATACAGACTCTATTTCTCTTGAACACATTGCCGTGCAACCTGACGCGCCACTTTCTGTTGTTAATCCACAAATATGCTGTGAGCCTTGCTTCTGAGTGACAATGTCTTTAGTCAAGTGGCAAGACTAATTTGTCTGTCATTCTGACACTCTCAGGGTTTGAGAGCCATTGTAAGTTTATTTTAGTAGTTTAACATAAGCTTTGCCTCATTCGCAGATGTTTGGGGCCTTGTATACGAGTCAAACTGTTTTAGAATGTGTTACCCCTCTATGAAAAATATTAGTTATTGTAGTAACTTGCCAGTAGAGAGAGTGATGAATAGTTCTATTGTAGAGTTTGCAGATTAGGGCTAGTTCAAAGTGTTGAGTCTGTTGTCTAGTCTAGACATAAAAAATAATGATTATATTTAACAGTAATTTGTTATAATGTTGTTGTGTTAAATTATTTTAAATGTAATTGTTATTTTTTTAAATAATGTTTATTATTATTGATGATAATATTAATCAATAATTAATAATAGTGATAACAATCATCATCATCAGATCAGTAAAATATATGTGTGTGTATTAGGGGTGTAATGGTACACAAACATCATGGTTTGGTACGTACCTCAGTTTTGACATCACGTTTTATAATGTTGTTGTGTTAAATTATTTTAAATGTAATTGTTATTTTTTTAAATAATGTTTATTATTATTGATGATAATATTAATCAATAATTAATAATAGTGATAACAATCATCATCAGATCAGTAAAATATATGTGTGTGTATTAGGGGTGTAATGGTACACAAACATCACGGTTTGGTACGTACCTCAGTTTTGACATCACGTTTCGGTACAGCAGGGGGGCAAACTAAACCTTTTTTTTTTTTAACTAAACAGTGGTTTACTGACCAAATTGCTCTTCAAATAAATTCAATTATAATAAAATTTTTCTAAGGGATAAAAATCTCTCTCGGCTTATGCTCTAAACTTTAGGGAGCTCATTTATATTACTATAAGAATCCCCGACAAAAAACTGCTGCTGCATTCTATTTATGATGTATTGAGACAAATTTCAAATGATTTTCAACGGTCGCTTTGTCGCGTCCAGTGTACTAGACAGACTTTAGCTGTTGCGGCGCAGACACGGTGTTACTCCCCTATCGAGAAGAAACAAAGCAACCTCGGCGTCCGATCGCAGGCCTTCCGCTCCTTGAGTTCTCTCCAGCACTGGAAAGCTGATCCGATATTTACACGGGTCCTACATCTTGCCTTATTTTGTTCCGCAGACGTTTTCCTCTTGTTTTTTATCCGCCATCTCTATCTTTGTCTCTCGGCTCGGCTAATGTCCTGTGCTGTGCACTGAACTCTCTCTCCTCCACATCATGAGTAGACACGCCCCTTACTGCTGATTGGCTACAAGTTTGTTTTGCTACTGGCCCAAATCGGTTTTCTAAAGCGTTTTTGAAAAATCGCTTACCCCACCTTTAAACATTAAATAATTAAGACATCACTAACAGATAAAGTAAAATGTAATGAGTATATTGTCTTAATATTTGGCGAAATGCTCTTCTCTGCACTTAATTTCTCTAGCGAATTAATGAGCTGTGGACACTGATGACTGCCTGAGGTAAATGAAATGCTACATGACATTTTGTTCACAAGCTGTTTTATTGCCGTTGTGACGAGAGGGGTGGGGCCGAGAGCTGTGGGAAAGGAGCGAGGCTGGTGGAGTAAATGCTAATGCGTCACCTGCGCCACTCACCGGTCTCGAGTCCATTAGAATTTAAATTGAAATAAAGGCAAACCTTTTACAATTCCGATTATCTTTAGGACTAAAAGGAGTAGTTTCTTCCACTGTTAGAAGTGTTATCACAGTACCGCTGTGATGTTTTTTTATGTGGATATTGGAACGCAAGTGAAGTACATAATAAAAATTTGCCATTCAAAAATACATCGCAGTGTGACTGGTTGTGGTTGTGGACAGGTGTCTTTTATACTGATAATGAGTTCAAACAGATGCCATTAATACAGGTAACGAGTGGAGGACAGAGGAGTCTCTTAAAGAAGAAGTTACAGGTCTGTGAGGGCCAGAAATCTTGCTTGTTTGTAGGTGACCAAATACTTATTTTACCGAGGACTTTACCAATTAATTCTTTAAAAATCCTACAATGTGATTTTCTGGATTTTTTTTCTCATTTTGTCTCTCATAGTTGAGGTATACCTATGATGAAAATTACAGGCCTCTCTCATCTTTTTAAGTGGGAGAACTTGCACAATTGGTGGCTGACTAAATACTTTTTTGCCCCACTGTATATATTATACTCCCATAGAAACAACCAAGACCTAATTTCAAAGGTGTTTCAAAGCAGTTTCTTCTTAGTGAGTTGGGTCATTTTAGCTTTCCCGTGTCATTTTATTCCCATGATCTTTGAATTGACAACAATCAACAACAATTCGTGCTTCAGCTATTTTTGAAGTGAGTTTGCAGCTACTTGCTAAAAAATATTTCCTATAAGACAAATTTATGCTTATCTTTTCGAAACAATGACAATACCTTAGGCCACGTTAGTTGGTTACACCGTAAAATCACTGATATCTGACCTGAGGGACCATATAATTGATCATAGATTCATTTTATTATTTAGTCTGCCAACTGCAAAATCTTGCCAATATATGAGGAGAATATGGTACAATGGGGAGGGGGAGTGATATTATAGACTTCAAACATAAAATATATGTGTGAATGTGGTTTGGTGTTTGATCCAACTCTTTGAGTCAAAGGCTTGCCCAGTGGAAGGATGTTTCACCTGAACTTTTAATGTTTGGTGTAAACCTGATGCTTCCATGCCAGACAAAGCCTATTTGTTACGGTGTATGTGTAAGTTTGGGTGTTTCTTTCTATTTGCCTGAAGTAAAATAGAGAAGCATCATCTGATCCTTAACAGGCCATGATATGGTGTGTTTTTGGGGGAAGAGAAAAAAAGCACATTGGCTTCCAAGAAATGGCAAAGTATAACAGTTTCCAAAAACATGTTAAGCAGCACTGCGCAACTGTATTCCTCATTGATAATCAGAAATATTTTAGCGTGAAAATTTGCATTTTAGAATGATTTATGAAGCATCATAAGATTCTGAAGTGATGGCTGCTGAATTTTTTCAGCATTTATTTAATATTTCACAATATTATTTTTATGGTGTTTTTGATCAAATAAAGCAGCCCTTGTTAGCATAAGAGAGTTTCATAAACATTAAAAAATCTTGACCCCAAATTTTTGAATGGTAGTGTATTTATCACAGAAAGACCCAACTTTTGATCTACCAAGTACTGAGACAGTTGGGACTTCCTGTTCAAACTTGGCACAAAAGAGCAGAAGAAATGGTCTTTTAGCTTGTGTGCCAGCTGCTGGATGTGTGTGGTAAATACCACATCATCTTGTTTGGCATGGAAGATGAGATAAATAAATGTCTGAGCTAGGCCTGGGCGATAAAACGGTATTGATATTTAGCGACGGTACACCCTCTTCGATAACGATAGAACAAATGTTCGATATAGCGCACAATATAGGCACGTGCTATGAGTGATGCAGACCGCACACACAAACACCTGCTGAATTGAGTGCTGTGCCTGCCTGTGATGAGGAGGTTGTGAATAAAAAAAAAAAAGAATATTAGTCGAATTTAAAATAAACATTTGCATTTGATTGCAAAAATAGTACAATCAAATGTTAGGTGTGCGTCTGGGAGCGTCATTAGTGGAGTGCGAGATGCGGTGATGTAAGTGACGTTGTTGCATTTTAATGTTTTGTTATTCTAGCCCACGAGACGGGCAGTTGTTGTGTTATTCATTCAAAATATTAGAGAAATATAGTTGCTCAATGCGGAGAAGATCTTGATTGGGTTAAAACCGAAACCAAGCCATTCACACAGAATGCATATTCAGCGCATTTTTTAGACGGACCAATATGACTGCTGCACTTGCGTCACACAAGAGATGTATAGAAAGGCATGCTAAGTTAAAACAGTTTAAACTTTTAGAAAACGTGTCACGAATTTGTGGAGGTTTATTCCTTTTCACTGCGTCTCATATGTTTTTAAAGGCAATCAGCGATAGGCGATTCGGCTCTTTGTATTAAGCAATACATAAATACAGGATGCTGTTTTGTTCATAATTGTTTATGCAATTTACGAAATTGTTTGATTTATATGAGTTAATTTAGACGTAATGCATGTTTTTCTTTTTATAGACAGTTATTTCCTTTGCGTTGGCAATTTAATGTGCTGCATTATTTTGCTCATTGCGCCCTCCTGTGGCCTCGGGAAACAAGACAAAAGTTTCCTTCAGACTGCATATAAAACATTGGTAAAGAGATATTTGTTTAATTTTTATTTTGTGTTTGACTGTTAAAACAAAAAAATATTTGTTGTGTGTCTCAATAAATTGGGTTAATTAAAAAAATACAGTGGTTAAATTTAAACAGTTTTTTCTATTGCTCTTTGTTTTAAAAAAGGTTATAAAAAATGTCAATAATTATCGATACTGAACGATATGAAACATTATATTGTTGATACATTTTTTTGCTATATCGCCCAGCTCTAGTCTGAGCTCACACCAAAGGTCATCTTATGAAGACCTCAGTGAGGACACCTCCTTGCTTTGAATATTTTTGATGTGTGGTGTCATCGACCATCACCTTTACACACACACGTGTCCGTAAAACAGCAGGGCATTGGCCTCACTGAAACGTCTAATTAAAGCTTTTAGTGTGTGGGTGCTCACACTCTTGGCAGTTCTAAATTAAACACATCCCACCTGTTCCTGACACCTGCATAAATCAGCTCCTCTCTGCCCTGGCTAATGGATTGTTGCTGACCAGACTTGACATCAGCCGTCGTAAACTTGGTGTACTCTTGGGTACACAAGGTTACAACCCGTTTTAACACCCATTTTGGGTGATACATTTGAAATGGATGATGCTAAAAACAAAGTCCAAAGTTAAACTGGGTCCAAAATGGTTTCAGCTTCAGCCACTTCAACCACGTGATTGAAAAGGCATTTGCGGCCAACCCTAAACATCACTTTTATGTTTAGATTAATATAAAAGGAATATAAATATGAAAATAATGTGCCTATTATTTTACATTTCTTATAGATTTATTTATTTTTTTAACATATTTAGTTTGTTATATTTGTATATTATATTTATGATTATTTTTGCACTTGTAACAGACTGACAAAGTGAGCGATATGTATGGAGTGATGTGTGTAATCTTGTATAAATGTAACCTATTCCATCATTTATTTACAGATAATTCCACCTGGAGGCAACACCTCATTTGATGTGGTGTTTCTAGCTCGAGTAGTAGGGAATGTAGAAAATACCTTATTTATTAACACATCGCATCATGGAGTGTTTACATACCAGGTACATTTCATTCACTTAATAATGTTGTGCTGTGTTTGATGTACAATTTTTAATGCAATGATCCTGAAAGAACTGTTGTTTGATTTTAGGTGTTTGGTGTGGGCATCCCCAATCCCTACAGACTCAGGCCCTTTGTAGGGGCCAGAGTTCCAGTAAATAGCAGCTTCTCTCCACTCATAAGCATCTTCAACCCTCACAGTGAACCACTGCAGGTACACAAAGCACCTCAGCTTACCATAGTGCTCCTATATCATTTTTTTTTTTTTTACCAGTGGGCCATTTTGGCTGTTTGTCTAAATAAATATGTCTGCATCACCTCATGTTTTTTATGGTTTTAGGTTGTAGAGATGTACACCAGTGGAGGAGACCTACATTTAGAGCTGCCTACTGGACAGCAGGGTGGCACCAAAAGATTATGGGTGAGCACTTTTTATTCACACTTCAATGTTGTCATTATTGTAAATCACTGTTGTGGTAGAATGAATTGTTTTCATATGCTACATTTTTGGTGTTCTGTAGGAGATCGCTCCATTCGAGACAAAGGGTGTGATGAGAGCTAGCTTCTCCTCTCGAGATGCTGACAACCACACAGCCTTCATCAGAATTAAAACAAATGCGTCCAACGAGGACGAGTTTATCATCCTCCCTGTAGAGGTTGAAGTCACCACAGGTCAGTTGAAATAACCTTTCTTGATACCATCTGATCTTCTGTACTTCAGCACTGATGTTTTGTGCATTTTCCCAGCACCTGGTATATACTCCTCCACAGAGATGCTAGACTTTGGTACACTTCGATCGCAAGGTGTGCTTTTTCCCTATTTCATTTGATGGTAGCTTGGTAGAACAGCAAAACTGTTTGCAGGATACTGTGGAAAAACTTACAAATATCTGTGTCCTTTCAACTTTACAGATCGACCAAAACAACTGAATTTGCATCTGTTAAATTCAGGAGCAAAAGATGTATCCATCATGGTAATTTGTAGGGCTTGTTTGTACACTACTGTTCAAATGTTTAGGGTTGGTAAGTTTTTTAAAAAAAAAAAATTTTTTTTTTTAAATGACTCTCTTATGCTCACCAAGGCTGTGTTTATTTGATAGAATTGGAAAAATACAGCATAAACAGTAATATTGTGAAATTATTTGCAGTTGAAAATAATTTTGAATGGTAGTGTAAATCTGAAGATCTGGCAAAGTTTTTGATCTAACCAGTGAATAAAATATCCTTTTTAATTCTCTTAATGTGTTTTGTGTTGTATAGAGTGTTAGGCCAACTCCGTCGAATGAAGCGGTCACAGTGGATTTCAAGCAAATTACACTAAAAGCTGGAGAAAGCCGATATACCAAAGTTGCGAGTATTAGTTTTGATGGTAAGTACTAGGGGTGTAATGATTCGCTCGTTTTATCGATGCATCGATTACAAACCCTGACGATGCATATGCATCGATCCTGAAACATGATTTTTGAATCGTGAATCATCGATTTCGGACAGTAATCATTTTAAAATGCTAAGAATCGAATGAATCCCGATTTCTGTACCGATTCAATGCTTTCAAAATATATACACATTAAATTACTACAAGCACGAATTAATGGAGACCTTGAACGGTGTTCGTGCCTCGCATCTCTCCTTCACACGCTCCACTATTTGCCGCCTGTGACGGTCACAGGATTGCGCTCGCGTTCTGTTTGTCTCACTGACACATTTTTTGAGCAGCTGATGTGTGATCACTCCTTAGTACTCGTGACCAGTAATGCTAAAGTGAAGTAGTAGTTTTGCTTTTCTCTGTAGTTTTTCAGTGGCTCTCGATCATACTGACGACATTACCTGAGCAGTCGTAGGTTGCGCATTTATTGCATGAACGGAGCAAAAATGTAAGTGTCTAAAGCATACGCACAGTTCCATTGAATGATAAATGTGTTTTAACAATTTCGTTGAACCGAATGCACGGATGCACAACCGAATGTATCATGAGGTTTATCTGATAATCAGATGCATGAAAGTAGCGTTTGTTGCTATAGCAAACAGACATGGGGTGCGTTTTCTTTCAGAATCCTCATTCGCCGATGGAGAGGAAAAGTTAAATACTATAGCTTTTTTTTTTTTAAATTAATGAAAATGATATAAAGAAGTTTTCGCACTGTATGAGAAGTGTTTTTGCTCTCAAAGAATTTAAGACGTGTCAGGAAATGTCTAATATGGACAAAGGCATCTATATCTGTAGCTAAGCTGAATAAAAAGCAGAATGAACTGGTGAAACGTCAATAAACACAATAAATAAATAAAATGTACGAATGATGCAGTGCTAATTGACATTTATTACAGTACAGAAACTATAAAGTATATTTTCTACCTAATTCTGTGCAGAAAATTGAAATAATTGTTTGTAGTATATAAAACAATCATAAAATTGCCATTAGGAAAACATTATAGATTACAAATGATTGATTATTGTCCAGCAGTGTATTTGATTTCTTATAGCAAATTCAAAGCAAGATAAGAAAATAATTCTGTATATATATATATATATATATATATGCATAGGCCTACATAAAATTATTGTATTCAACATTTCTGTCACTTCTGAAATGATGGCTACGCCCCTGGTGTGACAAAATGTTAGCCTGTACATGATACTTTTAAAACCTTTTTTTATTTATTTATTTTTTTAAATCTTGGCTTATGTACATTTCTACATATGCCATGTCATGCCATAGTATCATTAAACTAGCATCTAACAATGGACAAAAGTGTTTTTTTTTCTCTCTAACCTATGGTTCTCTAACCATAAAGGCTGCTGTGTAATTTGCCCCCTGACTACGTATTTAAAGAATTTAGGGGAAGCATTTAAATGGCATTTGTTGTTTTTTTACATTCCAGCTTCAAAAGCAAGGAGATCAGACCAGTTTTCTGGAAAAATAACAGTGAAGGCAAAAGAGAAAAGCTACTCAAAACTTGAAATCCCTTACCAAGCTGAAGTTTTAGAAGGGTAAGATTTCTTTAAGTTCACTAGTATATATTTACATTTTTGTAACTAGTTCACAATGTACTTATGCTCACCGTTTCCAGGTACCTGGGCTTTGACCATACATCCACCCTGTTCCACATCAGAGACAGTCCTGTAGATCCAGTGGACAGGCCCATTTACCTCACCAATACTTTCAACTTTGCCATACGCATCCACAATGTGTCCCTTCCAGAAGAAGCCAAGACTATGTTCAATGTAAGCAATTATTCTAGCTTCTGGATGTGGGTATTCACATTTTTGTCAGAAGAAAACATCTTTATAGAGTGCTAAATTAATTTTTATAATAATAAATTAATATTGTTTGTTTTGTTTGTTTTTTTGCAGGTGCATAATTTCAGCATGCCAGTTCTTATCCCTGCCCATGAGTCCCGCTATATTTTCTCCCTTCTGTTTCGACCAGTGCGACCCTCCATCCACATCGACAGCAACATTCTCCTCATCACTAATGCTTCTAAATTCCACCTGCCAGTCAGGGCCTACACAGGCTTCTTGGAGGTATGTTAGGAACAGCCTGAGCCTACATGTGACAGACTGTCACTAATGTAACCCAATTATGAATTTCAGACTTTGTGAAATTTAAATGTATAATTTTTGAGATTAATTGGCCATGATTTGTCTTTGCTTTCTTATTTAACAGCCCGTTGTTCTTCCTCCCTGTCTTCGAGATCACATCCTAGACTTTGGAGTGCTTAGTGCTACAGACACCAGCAGTTTGGTGTTTGTGGTGGTCAACAGCAACCCAATTGAGGTACGAGGTCATCATGTTCAGTACAGTGTGACATGTCATTTGGATAAAAATAACAGTTCTGTTGAAGCTTTTAAAGGGGCCATATGATGTTGCTAAAAGAACATTATTTTGTGCATTTGGTGTAATGAAAGGTGTTTATGCGTAGGGCTGTCACAGTGAGGAAATTTCCCTTGCGGTAATTTTGAGTGGCTCAATAGCGCGGTATGTGGTATTACCGCCATATATATATATAATTTGTGTGTATGTGTTACGATCTAACTAACGAGGTCATATTCAGAAGACAATGAAACCGAAACCAAATAGCGTTGAAACAGGAAGTGAAGTTAACAGAATAGGATGACAAAATAACGGTCCACATAACGGAACATAAACCTGCCAATAAGATTGTTAGGCTATCGTTAGCCTATATGTATAACAGTTAGCCTAGTTGTAATCTGATTTTCTAATCTGACTACACAAGAGACTTTCTATTGATATTTCCACCTGTGCCCATTCTAGACGGGCTGTCAGTCAGTGCAGTTACAGTGTTGCGCCACAAGGTGGTGGAACGTAACTGTCATTCAACTACACGTTCAAAAATGCTGATTCATTCATTCAAAGAGACGTAATGAAACACACTGTAGAAATAATTTTAACTTCGAGCGACACTTTAGAAGGCTCAGCTGACCAGCTATGCGTCGATGCTAAAACAGATTTCGCTTTCCTTGGACATGACAACCTATTTTCACAAATATATATGACTCTGCCTGGAGGACAGATGCAAGTAATCGTACTCGCTCAGTCGATCTCTCGGATATAAAACACGCAAAAATCGCGGTTGCTGCGGTTCTTGCATTCCTCTGCGGTTTGCTCGTCAATAGCGCGGTATTGCGGTTATCGTGACAGCCCTATTTATGCGGTTTAAGGTTAAAAAAACACATTATTTTCCACATACTGTACATTATTGTTTCTCCTCTATGCCTCGCCTTTCTGAAACATGTCGATTTTTACAAAGCTCATCGGTCTGAAAAGCAAGGTGTACTGTGATTGGCCCAGCTATCCAGTGCGTTATGATTGGCTGAATACCTCAAGCATGTGACAGAAATGTTACGCCCCTACCATATTGTGATGATGCCCTGTCAGGCCGGAGCGATGATTCAAAAACATGAAAACCCATTATAAACAAGGCATTCGTTACATCCAGTGGGGACATAATTATTGATTATAATGACTTGTACTGTCTTTTTACGCGTTGCGTTGCATCGCGCCACGTAAACATAAAACCATGTCTGCATTTATGATCGGAGAAATGACAAACACCTACTCTTCACTGCCCAAAACACTCGCTTTAAATATAAAAAATATAAAAACTCTTTAAATATAAAAAAAACTTACAATCTGTGAGTCAGAACAGCCGGCATTGTAGTCTACTCTACCAGGATCAGTAAACAGTCCTCCATAAAATGTGCTGCACACATCTGAGTATTTGGGTTGAACTGTTCTGGAACAGTGTTGTAAATACAACTTAACCACTGATTTCTAGTCGTGTCCATTTTTGGAAAGCTAAGTAGTTGCGCTTTCACAACGAAACACAGCGTCACACACGGTGGCCTAGAGTGAGGAATGGCCGGAGGGCTAGAGTGAGCAGAGGTAGTTGGCTTGAGAACGGCACGGCCCGCGGATTTGCCGAAGGAGGCTTGCGGCAACCACATGTGACGACCCCGGGATGGACTCTAGGTATGTGGGGGCGTGTTAGAACAAGCCGTTTTAGGTAGGTGTGGCTGACTCTTAACTTTTATAAAGAATATCTCTTTGGATTTGAGACTTTAGTTTGCAACTTTACAGATCTTCTTTATGCACCAAGAGCTTGTAACACTCCAAAGAGAAAGGAAAAATTTTAATTGCATTATATGACCCTTTTAAGACATTACTGAAGTGAACAGTGATGTTGATATGGCTTTGTCTTTATAAATACATTATTGAGAATTTATGGAAATCATATATATTACAGAGATTTCTCTGTCCTTACAGTTGGAGATAAAGTCATGGTTGGTGACAGGAGACAGTCTGTCAATGGAGTTACTTAGCACCGAAAGAGGGAACCGAAGTATAGCACTGAGCAGAACACAAGAGCTCCAGAAGACATCAGCAGCCCAATACAAAACCGTAAGAACCGTCTTTACTACTCCTTTACTGTCCGTTACCAAAACTTGTAAATGTGTCATATCAGAGTCATTTTCTATGTAATGGACAGCATTACACGGGGCTTAACTTGTCTTTATGCTGGAATATTCGCTAACAAAGAATAATAACTGTATTTCATAATAAATATCTGATAAAAGTATTTATAATCCACATACAAAATAGGGGACGCTGGGCAATATTGGAATTTGTATTCAAAATTATGTCTGTTTGTATTTTTATACGAAATGTAAAGAAATTGACTTGCCACCTGAAATGAGACACTCCCCTACAATAAACGTTGATTAAATTTTATTTTACGAAACCGTTATATATGTATTATAAATATTTTATGATCTTTATTTATGTCAGTGAAAATAATGCAGATATTAAAGATTGGAAACGTAATTCATAATCAAGAGGAGCCATACATGGCTATCTCAGTGTACAGATTGGATTATATCTGCAGGCAGTCATAGGACTTCCGGTGGATTCTTTGCATGTCCGTACTTGTGGTAAAATTGCAGAAGTGTTGCAAGATTTATGGTTTTGGATTACTGCAAGCAAAGGTTTTATTTTAGACATTTTTCATTTTTTAAAGACCCAAAGTAAGACCCAAAGCAATGTAAACCGAATGGGACAGTTCACATAGAAATGTTTCAGTTAGACTGTTGTCTGTTGTATACTTAAGAATACAGTTACACTGGAGTATGTATGTTTATTTAGGAAAAGCAGGAAGGCTACAGAACTGTCATTTGTATGTGTAGGTGTTCATAACTCCATATTGCATGTCTGTTTTCTCACAGGTCATTTTAGCCTCAGGCTACTACGCAGCATTTAAAGTCACTTTGGTAGCTAAAGCTCTAGAGGGAGTTTATGATGGAGCAGTACATATTACAACAGACTATGAGGTATGTGTTTCATCCAGAAAACAGGAAGGAGGCAATTGAAACTGAACGTTCAAGCTACTTGCAGTCATTTAATGTAGAGAGGGACACCGATCCTCTCAAATGGTGGAAGGAACATGAAACACTCTTTCCAGCTCTGAGCCACTTGGCAAATAAGTATCTTTTGGTACCAGCAACCAGCAACCAGTTCCCCTTCTGAAAGGGTATTCAGTTGCAGTTGTGACATTGTAACCTGCCACAGGGCATCCCTGAAGCCTGAAGCTGTTGCACAAAACCTGTAAGATATATATATATATATATATATATAGATAGATATATATATACACACACACACATACACCTTTTTTTTTTCTTTTTTTTGTACACACACATGCACGCGCATATATATATGAAAATATAAATAACACTGTGGCAACAATCAAACAATGCTTTCCAAACCTTCAGTTTATCTGTGTCTATTTCAGATATTAACCATCCCTGTAAAGGCTCTCATAGCGGTAGGAACATTAAGCTGTTCACCCAAACAAATCATTCTTGTATCTTTGCAATCATTTGCAATCAAGTCAACGATATCGCTGGAAATGAAGTGTAGTAAAGTATTGTATCTTTGATGTGATTCTCTTGTTTGTTTAGGGTTGAAGCTTTCTTCGAAGTGAACACAGATCTGCAGAAGAATGTGCAGGCCAAAATCTTAGCGCAGCTCACATGGCCCTTGCTGGTTAACTCATCACAACAGATTTATTTTCCTCTCACAAACACCAACAGCTCATCGGTGAGTGTATACACACTGTATGTCGACCGATTGATCGGTTTTGCCGATTAATCGGCACCGATAGTTGATTGCCGGATCTATCGGCTATTGGCAGAAATCCATGCCAAATTGTTTTTCTGGGTTTCGTCCGTTGCTGGAGCGGCTGAGAAGGTCCACTGTCATTAGACAGTACAAGAACAGCCTCTAGAGGCGGAAAACACCATGTGCTGTTTGTTTTGACACATGACACTGTGTGCTGCACAGAGCGGGACAATTCAGATGCGGATTTAAAACGAACAACAAAATGGTGTGTATACAGTATACTATACTGCATGTTTTCATCATTACTACGCAGTGTTGGGCAAGTTACTTCCAAAATTGAATACATTGTATATTACTTAATACTGTCTTTTGAAAGTAATTAGTTTCATTACAATATTACTGTCTCTGAATTGTAATGCGTTACACTACATTTGAGTTACTTTCACTTTCAAGCACAAACCGCAATTACATTCAGAAATTATAGCGGTAAATAAAGCAGAATGTTATAAGCCCTAATGTACAAACTATAAACACAGCAGCTAGCCTATAGGCTATATTAGTTCTCACTCCACAACAAATCCTTCAATGCTATGACCTTTATGTAGATATTTAAAGATTGCCATCTTTAAGCATGACTTTTGAAATGAAATAGTAACACTTTACAATAAGACTCCATTTGCAACATTAACTAAGGTTGATAAAAGCTGTTAGAAGTATTGTTCCTTGTTAGAGTGTTAATTTTGACATTTACTATTATATATTTTTTTATTTTAAAGTTGCTTCAGTAAACATTAATGAACTATGAACTAACTTTAATGATCAGTATATAATTAACATTAATATTTTTTATTCATTTAGAAAGTATGGTTCAGTACAGTTTCTTTTTAATATTAAAGCACTACTTTAGTTTTCGTTTAGTATCCATTTAAAAAACTATTCGTTGATTTATTGGTAAAATCCACTATCGGTCGATAGAGGTTGACCGAAATGAGTTTTTCACTGGCCGATGCGATATTTAGAAATCAGGGCAGCCGATGGCCGATATACGATGCCGATTTTTTTTTTGCCCGATATTTTGGCCGATTTTTTCTTTTTTTTCTTCTTCATCTCATAAAAGTGAGTTTGAGTAAATTATTATTGCAGGGTACAAGATAGTAATAGTAGTAGTAGCCTAATTCAGAGTAATAATACATGGCTCAAAACTTAAGCACCTTCTCAAAACAGTTCTGAAGCATGCTTTTTGTTTATGTTTGCTGACAGTCACCAGTGTTTCCCACAGACTTGCAAATGCAAAATGTGGGAGTGGGAGATATAGTGGTTTCCCCGGTAACGGCTGTAATCTAATAAGCACTGCGCTCACAAACGCTACTTTATCAGGCATTACAGGAAAGACAAAATGAAAATTACATCGAAGCTTTTCTGAAGACGGTCGGTTCTTTTCAAAGATACATTCATATAAAAACACCCGCGTTGCATTTTAGTTTTGAAACGTGCAGTGCTCAGTTAATTCAACAAAGTATAAGCCTTTTGGGAAATCTATTTGTGGAGGTGACGAGCCGCCACAAATAACTCAATGTATGGGAAACACTGGACACTGCTATAAGTCAAATGGCCAAGTGATAACAAAAATAAAAGAGTTCACACATATTACACAGCCTGCTGCTCATAACTGCTTAAAGGGATACTCCACCCCAAAATTTAAATTTTGTCATTAATCACTTACCCCCATGTCGTTCCAAACCTGTTAAAGCTTTGTTCGTCTTCAGAACACAATTTAAGATGTCTTTCATACTTTTCTGGACCTTGACAGTGTAATTTATTTGGCAGTCAATCGGACAGACACAAGCCTCCCAGTTTTCATCCAAAGTATCTTAAATTGTGTTCCGAAGACGAACTAAGCTTTTACGGGTTTGGAACGACATGGGGGTAAAGTGATTAATAACAAAATTTTCATTTTGGGGTGGAGTATCCCTTTAAGAGTGCACTGGCCACGAGCGATGACATCGTGGATGCTATTGTCGGACCTACACACACATTTCATGAGGAAAGTTAACGTGCACGTTATAATCAACCCAGTAGTTTCATCTGAATTGCTTGCGTTTCTACTTTCACATGCAAATGACTTGTTGCACTTATGAATATGATAACTTTCCGGCATCAATTCTAGTAGGGTAAAACGTAATTACGCTTTCGAAATGGTCTGTTTTGCCCTGCCATCATTGGCTGAAGCTGTGTGTGAACAAGAAGCGGCTGCAGAGTTTGAGTTGCTCCGTCTCTCACGCAGCCAGAGAGAGATTCTCCGGCACCGGCATCAATTCTAGTAGGGTAAAACGTAATTACACTTTCGAAATGGTCTGTTTTGCCCTGCCATCATTGGCTGAAGCTGTGTGTGAACAAGAAGCGGCTGCAGAGTTTGAGTTGCTCCGTCTCTCACGCAGCCAGAGAGAGATTCTCCGGCGTTCTGCAGCGACGCTTAGCTGCCCGCAGATGCGCCTGACTATAAATCGGCCTAATTAGCAGCACAATCTGCCTTTGACGATTAATTAAAAAATGCCAAAAATTGGCCGATTAATCGGCTGACCGATCAATCGGTCGACCTCTAATACACACGTCAGCTCAGTTTAACACATTTTACCATGTTTAAATCAACTATAGTATTTTCCCTCAAGTCAAATACACTGACCTGAACTTGTGTCTTTGTAGGAAGAGGAAGTGATTCTAGAAAACCCAGCTGATGTCCCAATCTACGTTCAGGTTCTTCCTGTGGCTCTTTACCCAAATCCCACTGTGTTCACAGGCAGACTTGCCGACAGGTAAGGCACTTCTTCTGCACTAAACCAGTTATAGATGTTATATGGCGCTTTTCCACTGCGTGGTACGACTCTGCTCGGCACGGCTCAGTACGGTACGGCACGGCCCGGTTTGTGTTTCCACTGCAGTTCAGTACTGCTTTAGAGTGGGTGGGATTATTCACATGTCGTTTATAGTTGCGCCACCTCTACTGCTGCGACTCCTGGAAAAACGTTTTCATTCCGCGTCGCCCCATCAAGCTGTTGCTGGATCCACTCCTCTGCTATCAACGAGAGGAATGTCTGTATTTCCTCAACAGACAGCGAAACAGACACTTTTTAGTTGTTAAAAAAGGTGCGCTCGTTCAAAACAGTTGCGTTCGATCCTTCTCTGGCTGTGCTGATTTAAATCTAGAGGTTCTGTTGTGTTTGTGTCGCAAGTTCAGTGACACAGGTATAGTGATGATGCTCTCCGGCCATTCAGTGATCAGCAGAGTTTACATGTCCCGTTTTGATAACGGTACGGTTCACTTGGAACCTCAACCGAGGTGGTACTAAAAAAAAGTACCAGGTACCGTCACTACCGTGCAGTGGAAAAGCGCCAATAGACCCCTATATATGATGTGATGCGTTTTCATGTATGAAGACCTAATTATACAGTCTGTGAGAAATAGCAAGTGTGATTTTATAAAAACAAAATATAGCTAGCTAATTCAATTGAGAAAAATAGAGCTTTTTAAGTTATCTTGTGAAAATTCCTGTATTTTTTCTTATCACAATATGCATCACAGAAAGTGTCGTTTTTTTTGCAATATAGTGTAGCACTAATACTGATTTCATCTGATGTCTTTTTGCTGTTGTTTTTAAAGGTTTCCTTTAGGAAGGTTGTCTAACATCAACATTGACACAAATACACTGGAATTCCAGGTCCATAAAAATCACGTAAGTAACAGACTTATTGTGACCATGTAGTGACAACTTATTGTTTAATTGAATCAATTCTACTTCATTATTCTACTTTCTAAAATTAATTTCATGATATCCACCAAAATTAAGAATTGCTGTACAGTATTTGTGGTGTGTCTTTATGCTGCTAATGATTTCTGTATGTGTGTCAGTCTTCAGGGATGAAGAGTTTCACAGGATTTGTTGAAGGCTTAACTCGGCCCTATGTATACAACATGCTCCTTATGCCTGGTGAGATAAAGTCCTTCAACGTGAGGTTCAGACCCATCACTGATCACAGTGTCTCTTCTCTGCTAGTCGTCAGGTGAGCTTAGATTGCTAAAATGAACGCTGAAAATAGAATGGTGTGAGAGTACTGTTGTACATTACCCATGTCATGTTTGTACAGGAACAACTTGACAGTAGTAGACTTGATCGTGGTTCATGGACAAGGCACCACAGAGAGTCTGAGACTGGCTGGTAAAGCCCCAGGTCTCGGCAGCTCTCTGAGGTTTAAGCATACAGAGGCATTGCTCAAAGACTGTTCAGAAGGTAAGTGTCAAAATGAAATCAATTTCCAGATGTTTTCATTGTTATAAACTAGTTTGAGATTCTGTTCACATACTGCTTATGCTTACTGTGTTTCTCATTTCTTTAAGCTAAAGCCAAGGAACCGAACTTCACTCTTCGAAGGACTTTCAGGCTGGAGAACACAGGGCTTCTCCCAATTCACATTCGGTCTATGGAGATCAGTGGCAGTGCATGTGAGGGTTATGGCTTCAAAGTTCTCAACTGTGAAGAATTTGCACTCAAACCAAACACTTCAAAAGACCTCGTCATACTGTGAGTAATTTCATGGTTACGTTTTGTGAGGTTTTCTGTTGTACACTGTTGGTCAAATGTTTGGTCAATGTTTTTTAAAGAATTCTGTTATGCTGACCAAGGTTGCATTTATTTGATTAAAAAAAAAAAGTTTGTAAAAACAATAAAATGTTAAAATATTACATATAAAAAAATATATTATTTTAAGTTTTCTATTTGAATATATTTTAAAATGTAATTCATTGTCTTGATGTCATTGTTTAAAACAGTTTTTGCTGCTTAATATTTTTGTGGAAACCATGACACACTACTGTTCAAATGTTTAGGGTAAGTAAGATTACCCTAAAGAAGAAAGAAGAAAAAAAACTTTTATTCAGGAACAATAAAGACGTTTATAATATTACAAAAGATTTCTATTTCAAATAAATGTTTTTTTGAATTTTCTAGTCATCAAAGAATCTATGTATTATGTATCACAATAATATCATAAATAGAGTAAATAATTAAGCACCAAATCAGCATATTATAATGGTTTCTGAAGGATAATGTGAGATTGAAAATGTATTTTATATATTTTAAAATATATTAAAATACAAAACAGCTATTTTAAATTGTACTAATATTTCACATTATTAATGTTTTAATATTGTGAAATAATCAAATAAGTGAAGCCTTGGTGAGCACAAGAAACTTCTTTCAAAAGTGCACAAAATTTTTTTAAACTTTTGACCGGTAACTCATGTTGTGTTAACATCATTAAAGGGGTCATATGATGTGATTTCAAGTTTTCCTTTCTCTTTGGAGTGTTACAAGCTCTTGGTGCATAAAGAAGATCTGTAAAGTTGCAAAGACTAAAGTCTCAAATCTAAAGAGATATTCTTTATAAAAGTTAAGAGTCAACCACGCCTACCTAAAATGACTCGTTCTAACACGCCTCCACATGTCTACGTCACGATGTGGGAAATGTTCAACGCCGGCCGCTCCTTCGTCGAATCCGCCTGCCTCCGCTCACTCAAGCCCACCGTGTGTGACGCTGTGTGTTTCGTTGTAAAAGAGAAACTACTTTGGTTGGCCTTCCAAAAGAGGACACGACTAGAAATCAGTGGTTAAGTTATATTTACAACACTGTTCCAGAACAGTACAAACCAGATATGCAGATGTGTGCAGCGCATTTTGCGGAGGATGAGGACTGTTTCCTGTGAGAGTAGCCTACAATGCCGGTGTCTGTTTCTATAAAGTGGGGCAGTTCCAACTTTGCAAGGACAGTCTGGCGTTTCTGACTCTCAGCCTGTTAGTACGTTTTTTTTATATTTAAAGAATTTGCCAATGATGATTCAAACGCGAGTTTTGAGCAGTGAAGAGTAGCACTTGTTGTTTGTCATTTCTCCAGACATGGCTTTATGTTTACGCAGCGCGATACACAACGCAATGCGTAAAAAGACAGTATAAGTCATTATAATCAGTAATTATGTCCCCACTGGATGCAACAAATGCCTCGTTTGTAATGGGTTTTATTGTTTTTTTTTGTCTTGTCGTGCCGGGACACAGGGTATCACAGTATGGTAAGGGGCCTAACATTTCCGTCACACGCTTGAGGTATTCAGCGAATTACAACGCACTGGATAGCTGGCCAATCAGCGTACACCTCGCTTTTCAGAATGATGAGCTTTGTAAAAATCGACGCGTTTCAGAAAGGTGGGGCATAGAGGAGCAACAATGATGTACATTATGTGGAAAATATTATATTGTGTTTTTTTTTTTTACCTTAAACCGCATAAACACATTGCATTACACCAAATACACAACATAATGTTCTTTTAAGCAACATCATATGACCCCTTTAAAACTTGTACTTGCTCAAATTTGACACTTATTCCCATATATGCCTTATTTTAGAGTGTTCAATCATGAGGAACAGTTGGAATAAGGTGATTTCTATCTTGTGAATTCATGCAGGTTTACACCAGATTTCACATCATCCAGAGTGATCCGGGAGCTGAAGTTGGTGACTGCGGGGGGTTCAGTGTTTGCGTTTGTGCTGAATGCATCATTGCCATATCACATGCTGGCAGTGTGTGCTGAGACCCTTCCCCGACCCAACTGGGAGCTTGAGCTCTACATCATCGTCTCCCTCATTATGAGGTCTGATTTCTCATATCTGATCACCTGATGGCTAAGAAAGTCTAAAAAAAAGTCTTATAAACATTACACATCCAAAACTATGCCTTGGTTATACAGCACTCAATTCTGATTTGTTTTTTGAATCTTATGTTTAGTATTGACTATCCACACTGCTTTTTGTAGTTTTATGGGTTTTATTTCTGGAAAAAAAAAACTAGACTAAAGAAAGTCATGTTAAAGAAATGTTATAGATTTGTTATAGATTTATATTATGTAACTTGTGCATTGTGTTTGTAATGTATTAGTAATACTTTGCTAATTCTTTTTAACGTATAATATTGCTATATGTTTTAAACACATGAGATTAATAAAGTACTTGTCTCTCTTTCTGTGGATGATTAACAGTCTGATATTTCTCTAGCTCCATGTTCCTGCTAGTCATCGCTACTGCCTATCTGGAGGCCCAGGGAATATGGGAGCCTTTCAAACGACGGATGTCTGTGGAATCCAACTCTCCCATGGAGACTGGAAAACCATTTGATCTCAGGGAAATTGTACGAATTCAAAGTGATGCTAAGTGAGTGAGGATTTTTTCAAATTTTATATCCTTAATTTATGATGAAGTGATATTTCATTTTTGTTTCTCTTCTTTAATCCACATTTTATGTATGAAGTTTTACGAAATGCATTTAATCTGTTGCAGCTTGAATGATTTTGCCGACTCAAACCAGAACTCAACAAGAGGAATGTACGGGTCAAGCGGTGGCGTGCGGGCTGGGGGTCGACAGGGTGGTCCGCACTCCAGTTCCAACAGCAGCGGTGTTCTGCCAGACAGCAAGCCCAGATCTGGTTCAGGCCGTTCTGGATCTATGCAACACTCCTCCAGCTTTCCACTCACTAAAGATAGTGGCCAAGGACTGAGTCAGCTAACTAATCGAAGAGCCCGGAGTTCCAAACAGCAGCAGCAGAGCTCAGGCCTCCTGGAGGACCTCCCGAGCTCAGGACCTTCACAGTCCAACAGCACAAGGGCCAACAGTACAGAGGAACAGGATTACAGCCGACTTCTGGCAGCTATGGATAAAGACCTCGACAGGCCTGAGTCTCCTGCCATTAACGTGTCTTTACAACACAATTCACAACAGTATTCACAAAACAAAGGTAATATATAACAATATATCAACATAACAATATAGACTAATTTATTAGGGCTGGGGAAAAAAAAATTTTTTCCATTGAAGGCACAATATGTAATTTTCGCCGCTAGAGGGCATGTATTCAAAATAAACAAATAGACAAAGGAGTAGTTTTTGTGAGGCCGTGACTGAGTGTGGAATCATGGGAGTTGTCGTCTTCATCCCCACAGCCATTGGAATCCGACGGGACTCGGGCAGAAATCATGTTCATGGATGAGCTAATGATTTATTAACGTAGTAGAATGAAGCAGGGTGAGGCTGAAAGCTGTCGAAGTGAAACGAGGCCGCTGAACGAGCGTGACACACAGCTCAAAAGCAGCGGAGCTTTTATTATGCCACAGTCGACCTTTTCCGCTCCTTCCGGTCGTGCGTATGTGGGGGGAAAAAAGCAGCGCTGTTTTATCATACTAGATACATTTGAAAGTTCTGATATAATGCTACTCTGTGCGGTCGTCACCTGACTAATAAAACGCATAACATATTAAAGTGTCTTTGGTGTTTCCGTGTTTTCTACAAAAAATCGAAGGGGTTATGACGTCATTGGCAGGTGACACAATGACACCATGGACACGCTCCATGTCACTAGTTAAAATTGCTTATTTCTCTGGATTTAAACATTCTTTGAAACATTTAGGATAATGTAAGTACACAAGTCAGCAAAATATATAACACAGTTCTAGTGGTTTTTGTATATTTTAATAAAATCTTACATGTTTGCCTTTAATCGTTTTTTTTTAAATGACGTCGATTCGATATCGATTCTCAAAAGCCGCAAATCGATCTTTTCCGGTATTTATTTCAGCAAACATTTAAAACAAGATCTGATTAATGTGAATCTTATCATTAGTCTTCTCCACTAGATGTCACCCTTACGCAATGTTACAACGGAAAGCTTGTCATTCATTCAGTGTTTATCATGGCGGAGATACTGTTGACAAGAACCAAGAACAAAGCATGCATGATTTGCAATGCTCAGGTAAAATTCTATAGTAATACTACAAATCTGTGGAAGCATTTGACATCACGCGTAAAGGCGCCATTGTTTCCGCAATGAATGGTGGATGGTGCGACACACTGTTTTGTTTACTACACACTTACTAAAGCACGGACGATGCTCGCGGTGTCTTCAGCCTCTGTCATCTCACTATGATGATGTGAATACACGAATATCATCTCCAGCTGCTCTGAGAGTCACTTCATTAGCATTTTACCGTTTACTTTGACATAACTACCATCATATCACATACACAGCAGCTGCAAGTTCCTCACGGCAACCCGTCAAAATAAAAGTTTACTTCAACGTGAAGAAACTGTATCAGAAATATTACTATTTAGCAGTCTTAAGACTCAGTGTAACAACAATGCTACTACTAATAATAAATATTAATAATTCTACTAATAATCACATTTGTTTCCTTTTTAATTTTAACAGTAAACCTCTGATGTGCAGCACTTTGTTTGCCAAAAAATGAAAGGGTTTAATTTTCATTTGATTAGGATAAATTAAATGTTTTATGCCTTCATCTGATTACCAGAAAAATTCACAACGTTTTATTAGGCCCTATTATTGTTTAAAAAAGGACCCTATACAAAAAAAGAATAAGTTTAAAATACATGCCTGTGGCTCTTGATTTCTTTTTATTAATTCACCATTTGTAAACTGATGTTTACTGTTCATTTTTTAGAAATATCAATAGCATTTGTATTAAAATTATATTCACAGAATGTAATCAAAAAATCGAGAATCGAAACGAATTGATAGCTTGCGAATCGAAATCAAATTGAATCGGGACATCTGAATCAATACCCAGCCCTATAATTTATCATGCCAGGTGTTTGTCCCAGAGGACAGTGTAATTTGTGAAATGCACAATATAATTTCTGTTAATTTACTTTTATTTTTCAGTGCTTGAATCAAAAGGGAAAGTGAAGAATAAAACAAAAGCTCTTAAAAAGAAAGAGGAGAAAGAGAGGAAATCAAAGGGAAAGACTCAAGGAGAAGATTTAAAAGAGCCACTGGCAGACAATGATGACAGCTCTTCTACTACCACAGAGACCTCTAACCCTGACGTGGAGGCCAATATTAAAGAGGTATACACGTGAAACATACTAGACCCACCAGAGTAATTCCCAAAACAAACTTGGTCGAAAATGTACATTCTAAATGCACTCTTTGACTACAATTTGTCGTCTTAACCAGGAGCCAGTGAAAGTGAAAGGAAAATCAGTGTCAGTGGACAGTGGAAAAGAAAGAGAAGAAATTACTCCCTCTCCTACTAAACCAAAAACTAAGAAACCACCAACCACAAAGAAGGAGAACCAAGTGGAAAAATCCAGGTTTGTTCAGACCGCTGCCATTGAAGGTGACGTGTAATTTCTGTCACTAGGCCCTGATACTCATCATGGTGAAGAGGTAGCAGGGCTTGCAAAATCGTTAGCCCGACGTCCCGGGGCTATTGTGTTTTCCAGTCGGGCTAATAAAATGTTTCACCACTCTGCCCGAAGGGCTATCTTGAACAGTGATATAAAATTCCTTCCTTGATTTGCGTTGTTCACTAGCTTGTAGGGGTAAAACGGATCATAGTTGATCATTTAACATTCAACGTGTTTTAAACATTCAAGTATTTTAAACCATTCACGCACATTCGGAGCTGCGCGCACTCATTCAAAGCGCGCACAGAGAGCCGTGTTTCAGACAATGTGCGCACAGAATTGATTCCTCTTTCACGTATTCTTGCATCTGAATGAACACATACACACAGAATTATCTCAAAATAACTGTCTCTGCAAGTATTCTCGTAAACACAGTCGGTTATGTCTTAAGTGAACGTGTAAACTGGTGAAAGAAATTTCAAGTGCATCATTATATTGGATCAGTGCATTCGGTCTTAAAGGGGCAGCAGCCTATAAATACCTGCTGTTCCATAAGCGCCACCTGCTGTCAGTGAGTGACATTTGCGTCTCATTCACAAAGCTGAAATCAGACCAATCTGTTTTTTCTTCAGATTTCGAAATTATACAATCTAATTGCAATCTAAATAACATGCATTTAGCATTTTTGTTTGGATCGTGATTAAAATGCAGTGGTTGCCTCCATTTTAAATGGAAAAAGCACAGTCAAAGCATTAGTTTGTTTATATGAAGAGATTTTATTTGTTTTATTTAAATATTTGATTGGGATTTGTTTTAAAATTTCAAGTTAGTTTTATTGTTTGACACTTTTAAATTTCACAAAGAAATGTGCAACATTTTGTTGGAGAAATAATAAAAGGACACCTTTTATTTATAATTTGTCTTAAATATAATTTTATCAAAAAGAAAAATTGTAAGAAAATTGTATTGTGAATCACATCGCGTTGTGAGTTGAGTGAATCGTTACATCCCTATATGCTGCTAGTCTTTGCTGTGGTATCAAAGAAGTATTCTGTTATTTAAATAAAGAACCATATATTTTTTTGCTCACCTGCAAAATGACCCGATCTGTTACTTAAAATCTGATATGACAATTCAATATGATCCGAGCCGTGAGATTTGTGATCCGTTGCACCCCTCCTCTTGACTTGACAGTGAAAAAAGCGATCACTGAAGTTTTTAATCATGCTGATTTGTCCGCAGTGAAGTTCAGCCGATGTCTTTTTTTTTTTATTCGGGCTACTTAAATTCATTTTGGGCTACCAAAATCTGAAGAATGTCTGCCCGAAGGTCCACCAGTGATTTTGTAATTTTGCGAGCCCTGGGTAGGATATGTCTGCATTGCCATGCGCCGTTCTGCTGGGAGCTATGCTTAGATTAATATTTAAATGTGTTGCACGGAATCCTCTCAATAATACAACAAACACACCACAATAATGACAGCAGTGAGAAAACAGCAGTTAGGAAAGCATCTGATCATAGGGATGTGGATATGTTTTCACCAGTTCCGCAATTCAGCTTTCCAGTCAAGTCCTATTTACTTATGATGCTTTAATAAAAATGGCTTTTAAACATTCAAGTATTTTAAACCATTCACGCACATTCGGAGCTGCGCGCACTCATTCAAAGCGCGCACAGAGAGCCGTGTTTCAGACAATGTGCGCACAGAATTGATTCCTCTTTCACGTATTCTTGCATCTGAATGAACACATACACACAGAATTATCTCAAAATAACTGTCTCTGCAAGTATTCTCGTAAACACAGTCGGTTATGTCTTAAGTGAACGTGTAAACTGGTGAAAGAAATTTCAAGTGCATCATTATATTGGATCAGTGCATTCGGTCTTAAAGGGGCAGCAGCCTATAAATACCTGCTGTTCCATAAGCGCCACCTGCTGTCAGTGAGTGACATTTGCGTCTCATTCACAAAGCTGAAATCAGACCAATCTGTTTTTTCTTCAGATTTCGAAATTATACAATCTAATTGCAATCTAAATAACATGCATTTAGCATTTTTGTTTGGATCGTGATTAAAATGCAGTGGTTGCCTCCATTTTAAATGGAAAAAGCACAGCCAAAGCATTAGTTTGTTTATATGAAGAGATTTTATTTGTTTTATTTAAATATTTGATTGGGATTTGTTTTAAAATTTCAAGTTAGTTTTATTGTTTGACACTTTTAAATTTCACAAAGAAATGTGCAACATTTTGTTGGAGAAATAATAAAAGGACACCTTTTATTTATAATTTGTCTTAAATATAATTTTATCAAAAAGAAAAATTGTAAGAAAATTGTATTGTGAATCACATCGCGTTGTGAGTTGAGTGAATCGTTACATCCCTATATGCTGCTAGTCTTTGCTGTGGTATCAAAGAAGTATTCTGTTATTTAAATAAAGAACCATATATTTTTTTGCTCACCTGCAAAATGACCCGATCTGTTACTTAAAATCTGATATGACAATTCAATATGATCCGAGCCGTGAGATTTGTGATCCGTTGCACCCCTCCTCTTGACTTGACAGTGAAAAAAGCGATCACTGAAGTTTTTAATCATGCTGATTTGTCCGCAGTGAAGTTCAGCCGATGTCTTTTTTTTTTTATTCGGGCTACTTAAATTCATTTTGGGCTACCAAAATCTGAAGAATGTCTGCCCGAAGGTCCACCAGTGATTTTGTAATTTTGCGAGCCCTGGGTAGGATATGTCTGCATTGCCATGCGCCGTTCTGCTGGGAGCTATGCTTAGATTAATATTTAAATGTGTTGCACGGAATCCTCTCAATAATACAACAAACACACCACAATAATGACAGCAGTGAGAAAACAGCAGTTAGGAAAGCATCTGATCATAGGGATGTGGATATGTTTTCACCAGTTCCGCAATTCAGCTTTCCAGTCAAGTCCTATTTACTTATGATGCTTTAATAAAAATGGCTTCAAAACTGCTTCATAGTATTAAACAGGAGTCAGTGTCGCGAAGTTAAATTTCAATTTCAGGAATAAGAATTTTTATTACATCTTCAATTTCAACTATACAGTATCTTTCCAATGCATTCAGTGAAGAATACATTTTACATCAAATAAAGTGGAGCCCCAGAGCTCACCCACCTATTATGTAAACATCATGGACCAATGGCAGTTTGACGGAGTTCAACAGCAAAATAAGAGGCGGGACATTTACGCTGTTGAGCCCTTTCAAAATGCCAAATTGGACTCCAAATTAACTTAGTTTTGGACAGGTTTTGTTAAAAAAAAAACACAGCACACCCGTTCGTTCTTCGAGAGGGGTCTGAGATTATTTGAGTGACCCGAGGTGCCGCTAGTGAAACAGAAATGTAGTTTCCAGTGAATCATTCTAGAATGGTTAATCATCACTTTGCATCAGACTTACGTAGGTGATCTTCACCATCTCCATTATTAATTTATTTGAATCTTGAGTTTAATATCAGTGCCTTAATTTGTTTCTATACAGCTCTCTAGAACTCCCTTATGTCACTCCCCTGGAAAAACAGGATAAGCAGCGCAAGACCTTCACCAAAACCCTTGCCAATACAGGAATTCACAGTGTCCCCAAACCACGAGCTCTGAGCAAAAGTAAATGTCAGATTTCAACTTTTCCATCCAACATTTAAATCTCTGTTAACTCTAAAACCATTTTGAAACCACTTTTATTCTGTCTGCCCGAGTAGTCAGTGGGAAGATGAGTGATGACCGGCCATCTCCACTTGGAAAGTTTGTAGTCAATGGCTCCATGCAGGAACTGGGTCATAGCAGCGGATCAGATGGAGAGAAAGAGTCCCCGCCACCAGAATGGGATGATCCTCTCATCAAAACTGGCAGCCGTAAGCAATGAGTCTGGAAACATAAGCTGGACTCCATTATGAGTCAGTTTGTTACTTTATGTACTCCTATTTAAGTATCTAAATATTTGTGTCATATGTTTTATTAGCAGCCGACAGTCTTCAGCAGATATCTATGCAGACCATGCATGCAGACCCCTTCCTGAAAGGCCCCAGTTCAGTAATGCCCAGAACCTGTTCACCACCCCCGACCTCCCCTAGCCTGGTGCCTCGTGGAAGCTATGGCAGTGTGCCCCACACCAGCAGGTAACTTTAACGGGCGTGTGGACATTTGGGTAGGGGCCTAAAATAACACTTGGCAAGCGCCAAATATGAATATAAATTGGCTAGTACATGAAACGTTACGCGCCAGTTGGCCGGTAACAATTTTTTTCATTAATTCAAACATTCTAACATTAAGTCGCTTATAACATGCGTTTGAAACTGCAACATCTTTACCAAGCATCTTCCCAAATTTGTAATAAGTGTAAAGTTTTAATAAATCTGTCAACAAAAAAAGAAGCATTTCAAAAGATGTATCCCTGCTGTAGGGCTGAGCAAAAAAAATCGAATGCGATTTTCATGCACATCTCGTCAGTAAAGCCGCTTTACTGACTAGATGCGCATGAAAATCTCATTCGATTTTTTTGCACCGCCCTACCCTGCTGTTTTTTTTGCCAAAATAAAAGCACAGGTTTAACTTTTAAAATCAAAGAAGAAAATGCCATATATATTAGTATTTGTACTGTTAATACTTTACAGTTCAGTAGTGTTATAGTGATATTTCTTTGTATATTTCTTTGATATTAATTTGTATTTATTTAGAAGTAAATAAAATAATAATAATTGCAATTAGATGTGTTTTAAATTTTTTTTAATGAAATAATGCACACAGTTTCATGGCCATTAAAAATATTTATGGCCGGCGAGTTTTCTCAAGTCACTGGTCATTGGACAGTGTGGCAAAATGTTAGTTTTAGAACCTGCATTTGGGTTATAGGCATCAAGACATTTCCTGGTTTCATCATGTTTGTGCAGGAAATATATGAGTGACGTTTGTTTTTCTTGTATATTTGTTATAGCGAGGCTAATTTAAAGAAGGCTCCAGGGAATAAGCTCACCAAGTCAGCCTCTCTGCCTGGTCAAAATGGAAATCCAACTTTTGCAGCTGTAGCTGCTGGCTATGACAAAAGCCCTGGTGAGTTTGCCCGTTAAATAGAAAGATGATATGGATAAACTTATAGTGGTGCATGAACAGGAAAATTTAAGGTAATTACTGATCATCACCATTATTTTAACAACGATATTTATTTTTGCCACAGATTTACATGTAAATGTTATACAAGTGGTATGCTCTTGATTTACAGGTGGCAGTGGCTCAGCTAGTAAAGCTGACAGTCTGGGGAAGGTACCACTGTCTCACATGACATCAGTGGAGAGTGACGGATCTGACTGGTGCAGTGGCTTCATAATGAAACATCACAAAAGCTTTTTTCTTATCTGTTTTTACATGTATATTTACAATGCCACTATGCATATTTCAGCTCTGGACTGTGGAGCCCAATAGACACCACCAGCCCCCCCAGTTTTGGACCGGTTAATGCTTTCTCTGCTTTTGGACCCAACAACCCACTTAATCTTTCTGGAGGTATGCGAAATGTTCAAATAAAATGCAAAATTCAAATAGCATCAAATAGCATCCAGTGTATCCAATATTGTGGTTATTTTCTGTATTAGTTTTCAGAGGCATGACTGTTCCCAAGAGTTCAGAGCCCCAGCAGAGTTGGCCTGACTACACTCCAGTTTCCCCATCCATCTGGGATACTGAGCCTAGTAATTCCTGGGCTACCAGCACTGGATCTCCAGCAACTCCAACAACTGTAAGATATTTCTTCCTTGTCACATTCTCATGTCTCATCCAGATGGACACCTGAGATCCCGTTAACACTAAGATCATGGAGTATCTCAGAAATCACAGTGACACTGTTTTTTTTCCCCTAATATCAAGGTTATTTTCAGAGGAATCTTGAACCGTTACTCACTACTGTAAATGTTTGGGTCAGCAAACATATTTCTACATTCAAATACTTTTATTCAGCAAGGATGCGTCAAATTGATAAAGTGACAGTAAAGACATTTATAATGTTACAAAAGATTTCTATTTTAAATATATGCTGCTTTTCTGAACTTTCTATTCCATTGTAAAATATTCTACAAACATACACCTGTGACCTCACATCAGTATAGCGGTGTCTGTTTTGCTTGCAAACCGTTCTGCTAAACAATATTACAGTATTACTGTTTTGTATTTTTGATCAAATAAATGCAGCCTTGGTGAGAATAAGAGACTTCTCTCAAAAACAAAACATAAAAACCTTGCTGACTCCAAACTTTTGAACAGTAGTGTTTATATATAGCACTAAGCCAGATACTTAACATGTTTCAGATTACCCCTGACTGTATGTAAAGGTAGTTCTACAGGTTATGAGATGAACATCTTTCTCTTTCTGCCTGTCTTTAGTCCATTTTGGGGAGTGCGCACAGTCCTTGGTCCTTCAGCAGGTCCATCTGGTCCACTGGCAACGACTCCACCCTGCACTCCTTCAACCCTCCTACTTCCTCCGCTGTCCCTGACTTGGGCAGCCACACTGCACCACCCACACCTGCCCCCAACGACATAGGCCGCACCTACAACCCCTGGAGCATGGGTTGGTCTCCCTCACTCAATCGCTGGAATTCGGAGCCTTGGCCTAACAGCCCCGATAACAACGGCATCTGAGACAGAACAGCCCCACTGAGCAACAAAAAATGCAGTGGTTTCTAATCTTATTTTATTTTTCCTGGTTGAACAGTGTGTTGTACGCCAACATCATTTTAATGATTGGAAAAAATCATGAATTGTAATGGTACAAATGACCACTGGAAACCCAGTGTTGCATTTACAAGTCCCCCTCAAAATTCAGTCCTATTTATTTTAGTGGGGCATGATAAAAATGCCTTAAGTTCCATTTTAACTGACAAAGTGAACGAAAGATTGAAGACATTGGCTTAAAGCTATTGCCCTTGTAGGGGTGTTTTTCTTTACGATTTTAGAGATTCCCTGTTTTGAGTAATACTGCATTGTAATTAAAGTATATGGTCCAGTATTACTGTATTAAAATGCAAGATGCAGTGTTACTCAACCTTAAAATAAGCACTTTGCGTAAAACCCCACTCCTACAATGCTGTCATTTTGGTTTAAGATGATTGAATTCATTTTAGAGCATTTTCTGACCACACTTGTTGGTTGATTTAATGTTCGGAAAGATACAAGTGGTTGCTAAGACTACAATTACCACATTGATTTGAAACGCATTCAGGATTGAGATTTGATTTTTATTTTATTTTAATTGCCCTCTGCTTAAAGTGAAAAGCTTCATTTGCTGAAATGGGCTTTTAATTTGAGGGCGCTTAAAGAACCTGAAATGTGTTCTGTGCATCATTCATTTGTCACTTCAAGAGTGAACGTTTGGTCACACTGGTTGAAATAAACATATCAGGCTGGAATATTGACTTCTCATTTTATTTCTGGCTAAATTTAAACTTGATTGAAGGGATAGTTCATCCAATAATAAAAATGGTCATTTACTCACCCCATCTCATTCTAAACCTAGATTTTCAAAACACGAATGAGGATATTTCTGTCCACGCAATCAAAAGTTTGATGATTCAAACGGTGATAAAAACATTGTAAACCATCCATATAAATGAAGAAGTGTAATCGAATTCTTCTGAAAAGAGACCTGATCACTTTATATGATGAATAGATGATGATGGGTGGCTTTTACCCAAGATAATTTGTTTCTGCATGTGAACTCCCAGGTTGCGATGTGTGTTGAGCAGGTATATTCCTCCAAAACTACACAAGCTGATTCAGCTTCCATACTAAAATTAAACTCCGCAGATGGTGTTAGATTTCCCTTGCCTGGAAAATGAACAGTGGTCAGTGTGGGGAGATGAAGCTCTATGTAAAGCGTCCTGAATGGGGTACATGTCCTGACCTGTGCTGTTCTTGGCACTGCCTTGGTTTCTATGTAATACATAATCACTGATATAATAAGTGCAATTTGCTGCCACCCATTTAAGGTGGCCAGTTTTTATGCAGCAGCTCATTTTCTTACCTTCCATGTTACTACCCATAATGTACAGATCCTTGAGTTTCTGAGGGAGGGAGGGATCTAATCTAACAGCCAAAGCAAGTTAGTGAGTGGACCAAGAGCTATGAGCCATACCTGTGTACGAGTAAACAAACAGGGCTGTGCACGTGCATACTATTGTCAACCACAAGATGGCAGTACAAAATTCAGCAGGGAAACAAACATTCTAACCCAGTGGTTCTCAACCTTTTTGACTCCAAGGGCCCCCTGTTGTCAAATATTTGAATGCCTTCCAAGATATTTCTGACACTTCTGCATTAATAACAAAGCTGCTCATTTTCAAACTTTTTTTTGTTTTAATTTGTAGAAACTAGGAGTAGTAATATACTAAATGAACAAGATTAATAAAAAATGTTACATTTCATAATTCCAGAAGTTTCAATAACTAAATATTCTTCATGGTTTATACTATATTACCAATGTTGTTGGACTATGTCCTAGTTGTTTGTGATAACAGGGCTTTTCATTTACTGTATTCATTTTAGAACCCTAATCCTTAAATAACGGTTCTGATTGGTAAGGGAATGAATTAAAATAATAAATTTATATGATTTTTAGTTATTTTCTAAGAGAGTACTAAGATGTCTTTATATAATTTTCTCCTAAAAAAAAAAAAAAAAACTCAGAAAAAAGTGAGTCTGTAGTGCATCAAATTTATTTTTCTTTTTATAATTTTTTTTAAAATCAATATTGTAGAAATAAACAGGCTTATTAAATAGTTTTCTTACCTCTCCCTCACTAGTCTTATCATGGCATGAACAGCATGCTCTTTCTGTATCTGCCCTTTCCAAACCTCAGAGTTCTCCAGAGCATCTTCAAGTCCATCTGTGCCAAAGTGATCTTTAAATCCTGTCACAGGTCCGATTAGAGGACCAGCAGGCCCTTTAAAAACTAACACCGGAAGCCAGACACATTAAATGTACAAATGGCCGCACCTGCTCTTACAGGGAAATGAATAAATAAATGACCATGATATTTTTTCACACTTATCTCATTTTTAGTAATTCAAGCAAAGATTTCTAGCTTTTTATCTGATAAAGCAGTGTTTATGATCGCAGCACTGCTTTGTGTGCAGCCGTTTTCAGGGAACAGCAATATTTCTGACGTTCCAAACGCGCCTCCTACTGGCAGAGAATCAATTTGCATATTCAATAAGCCCATCTGCAGGTTTTATTTAGACCAATGCGAAAATTCACTCATATAACTTTGTTTTAAATGAATGTAATAATAATTTACACCTCTGACTCAATCTTAAAATGATTTAAAGCCTGAAATGTGAGGTTTTTAATTTTTTGTTTTTGTGAAAACCTGCATCTCAACTATAAATGTTTTTACAGTCATTTTACAGTTTAATATGTTACCACAGACATTACCCTACCCTGCTCATGCAGTATTATATTTTTATTTTTTAAATAATTTTTGCAGGTCTTAAAAAAGGTCTTAAACAATTTTAAATTGGATCTTAAAAGTCCAGACAGATGTGGCTTTGCACACTGCCAGCATCTAGAATGATTTTGATCAGCATTTTAGTGTTCATAGCAGAGGACACTTTCTCAAAGATTGTGTAGGCTCACACATGTACACCCCTCGAAAGCCTGAAACCACAGAGCCCCCCAACCCCCAATTTAACTCCTGTGTGTTTGTTATATATATATATACAGGTGCATCTCAATAAATTAGAATGTCGTGGAAAAGTTCATTTATTTCAGTAATTCAACTCAAATTGTGAAACTCGTGTATTAAATAAATTCAATGCACACAGACTGAAGTAGTTTAAGTCTTTGGTTCTTTTAATTGTGATGATTTTGGCTCACATTTAACAAAAACCCACCAATTCACTATCAACAAATTAGAATATGGTGACATACCAATCAGCTAATCAACTCAAAACACCTGCAAAGGTTTCCTGAGCCTTCAAAATGGCCTCTCAGTTTGGTTCACTAGGCTACACAATCACATTTTGGAGCACTTCATGTTTCCTTCTGCTGACCAGCTTTTTGAATATGCTGATTTCATTTTCCAGCAGGATTTGGCACCTGCCCACACTGCCAAAAGCACCAAAAGTTGGTTAAATGACCATGGTGTTGGTGTGCTTGACTGGCCAGCAAACTCACCAGACCTGAACCCCATAGAGAATCTATGGGGTATTGTCAAGAGGAAAATGAGAAACAAGAGACCAAAAAATGCAGATGAGCTGAAGGCCATATATATATATAATATTATTATTATTATTATTGAGATTAAGACTCTAACTATTAAGACTATATCTATAATTACAATACTGTCTGCCATAACATTACATGTTTTATACAGAAATTCTTATATATGTATGTGTGTGTGTGTGTGTGTGTGTGTGTGTGTGTAATATCGACCGTTTGAATCCGATGTAAGAAACCTTTCCATTTTTTGTGTCGTACAGCACCCCTGTGTTTGAGATTGGTAGAGCCCGTTGAAACACAGCTAGGCGATCCAACAGAGAGGTCGCGCAGCGCAGTATAATTCATTTATTCCTGCAGCATTGGCAAGGTAGGTGTAACTAGATTTACTCTTTTTGCATTGTTTTATTTATGGCTAAGTAAATATGAATAAATATTTGAATTAACGACGTTTCAGGTTCTTTCGAAGAACATTTTGATGGTTACACTGATGCTCCTTAGCTATTATTCATATGTCTGGATTATTTATATAGTGTCTTTGGTGGTTTAAACCTATATTGCGGCGATTTGTTTTATAATCTAGTCCTGAAATGTATTGTTGTCTTGCCTACCGACTGCCATCGATTGAATGACTTGAACAATGGTAGTGTCGACGATGAAGATGATGGTGTAGGTGGAATTCAATCCTGTGGCACGATGCTTTGATCGATTTAAACGATGAAACATAGTTGAAAGCTGCTGTCAGTGTCAGCTGTGACTGACCCATCATTTTCATCCAGCATTTCATCTATAGCCGTCTCTGGCCTAGTTTAGGACTATATAATCATAAATAACCATGGGGATGGAGTCAGCAGTGTCACACCACACTTTAGTTCACAAACATTCACCATACTTTTATTTTTGCAGGTGTGTGTTTTTGTTGACATGAATGATTGTAGTTATGTCAGATATTAGATCCATGAAAAAGGCTGAAATTCAAAGCAATCTTAAAATATTATTCCTATTTGGGGATCTCTTTGGCATAACCAACATGTAGGAATCAGATTTGTCATCACCCCGTCATGACTGCATCAAGAATAAATTTAACAAATTGTGTATTTTTGCACTTTGTGTAACCCTAAGATAATTACTGATGTACATGTCTCAGAAATTCATTCAAATATGTTTGATTACAAACAAATAAATAAATAGTGTACAATCACATGTATTCAGGTTTGGAAAGTACCGTTTAAAAATTTAGGGTTTGTTTATGTATTACTATTTCTGAACAAGGATGCATTAAATCAAAATTAAAAAGTGATAGTAAAGACATTCAATAAAAAAAATAAAGCATTCAAATAAATGCTCTTATTTGGAACTTTTTATTGATCAAAAACTCTTGAATATTAAACAGTTTCCACAAAAAAGAAAAACCTTATTATTGCTTTGATTTATTATTTAAGTTTATATTTTATACATTTCTTATATACAGTTTCTTACTATCTGTCTTTGTCTTGTTCTTAATTGTAGTCAGTGGATGAGATTCTTTCTTTGAGCTCTCTTCTTGGACTAAGTCATTACAGCTGGAGTACATCTGTAGGTTATTCTCTTAACCATCATCCCAGTTCTCCGTTCAATGCCTAACACTGGGGAAAGTGAAGGCGCCAAGGTATCTGCTAGGACTGATCAGGAGGCCCCATCACGGGCCCCGGCCAGAGAGGATGAGCGTGAGCGCAGCTTCCTGAGTCCGAGTACGCGTGATGCGCTGCGGGTACGACGGGCCTCCAGCGCAGAGCTCCAGCTTCCATGGACCTGCCCTGTAACACACTCCCGGGAGAAGTTCTACACCGTCTGCTCGGACTATGCGCTGCTCAACCGAGCCCGACCCATTATCACATCTGAAGATGCGCCACCGACCAATCCAGACACCACATCATTAGTCAAGACCAATGCTGCAACCCCTTCCCAGAGTCACTCAGGGGGAATAAGTATGTCTTTAGATGGGAACTGTGATATGGAGGTTGTGTCATCCAGCAACAAGCCTGTGCTGGCCTGGGAGATTGACACCTCTGATTTTGATGTGGTTTTAACACGGAAAGCCAGAACAAGTATGTCTTTCTAAAATGATTAAAGACATCTACATACTGTCAGCCGGGGTTTTCAAACTGCAGAGACAGATCGAAAAAATTGAGAGACAAAAAAAGATATATATATATATATATACAGTGGGTACGGAAAGTATTCTCAGCCCCTTAAATTTTTCACTCTTTGTTATATTGCAGCCATTTGCTGAAATCATTTAAGTTAATTTTTTTTCCTCATTAATGTACACACAACACCCCATATTGACAGAAAAACACAGAATTGTTGACATATCACATGGTATTCAGACCCTTTGCTGTGACACTCATATATTTAACTCAGGTGCTGTCCATTCCTTCTGATCATCCTTGAGATGGTTCTACACCTTCATTTGAGTC